CCTCTGCCGGCGGCCGCAGCGCCCCCCCCACCCCGGGACGGACGGGCGCACGACACGAGAAGCCGGACTCCTAGGCCGTGACCTCACTGCTGTCGGTGACAACGTGCCCCGCGTCAACAGCAGAAACAGCCATCTGTGCCACCTCTAGTGCTGCCGCAGCAGTTGCGCACCAGCAGCTGTGTTGTTGCCCGCGTGCATTGCCTGTTGTCACATGCATGCCTTGCCTGTTGCTTCATGCACCATTTGCCTGTTGCTGCTTGCATGCATTGCCTGTTGTTGCTGCATGCACCCGTTGCATGTTGTTGCATGCGTGAGTCACGTGTTGCTTCACACGAGTTGCATGTTGCTGCATGCATGGGTCACCTGTTGCTTCACATGAGTTGCACGTTGTTGCATGCGTGGGTCACCTGTTGCTTCACAGGAGTCGCATGTTGTGGCATGCATGCGTCGCCTGTTGCTGCATGCATCCTTTGGATTGCAGAAGAGAAGAAACACAAGTTCAGATGTAAGGATCCTAGCGGAGGAATCTGTACTGCCGTGAACTGAAGACCTGGCTTGACAGCTAAAACGGAGCCGATTCACTTTAAAAATCGCTTGATAAAGCCACGTATTCCTGATATTGCACAGTGATGCCGTGTATGGAAAAGGGCCTTCTGTTTTGGTGACAGCACAAAGTGGGTCTCACCGTGATGTCAGGCAGTCTGGAGAGAAAGCTTGAATGCCTTTCCTTCAGAAACCTGAAAACTTACAAAGATCTTTTTATTATTATTATTGTTGTTTGACATGTTTAAAGCAGGGATGATTCTGTATTGATCTTACGAGGGCTAAAAACCAGTCACATTTGCTGCACTTAAGCAGAAGCTGTCAGGACGTTTTACACAGTAAGATATATCTGCCGAATAAAGAAGTAAGTCTGAATCTTGCACTCCGGGAGGGTTATTATATAACGGGAAGCTTCATGCAATCTTACAACAGTGTGAAAAGGATGTTCATGTTACACAGAGAGATCTTGACAGGGAAGGACCTCCCTTGGGCATTTTTCAGTCAAACTGAGATGAAGACAGCCATGCGCAGGCAGATGAAATGCCTTCTTCATTTAAGGAATGAGATAGCCTGCCGAGTCGCAGCAAATGCGGTCAGGGTTAATGCACAGTCCGCTGTGAGCGCACTGGTTTCTACAGGTGCTGCAAGCTTATTAGAGTCACTGCTGGTCTGTGCATGCTCTGGGTGGCAACAAAGGTGCTTTATGGAGTTAACAGGGAGCACCCAGGGGTGTCCTGGCAGATATGTGCAGCATGGGATGAACCTTTCTGGCTACCCCGTCTCCTGCACAGAACCTCAGTTTTCCACCATTTGCTCTGTTTTTGGCTGTGCTGCACATCTGCTTGGCAACAGCTGGGATTTGTGTTCTGAATTTCCTGTAAGAAACTATAACCTGTCCCTCTCAGCAGACAGCCCCAACAAAATGCCTTCAGGGAAAAGCATCTTTTTAACCACACGTTACCATTACACAAGGAGAAGTCTCTCTCCGTACTGGGATATCTCTGTTCTGTTAAATATTTCAAGTACAGGTGACATCCTTTTTTTTTAAAGCACACTTTTGAAGTTATGCTGAAGTTTTTAGAATGAAAATACAACAGACATGAGAAATCATGAAACAAAGTACTAGGCAATTATTGTAAAATGTTGAAAAAGTAATGAAAATACCACCTTCCCTTTAATTTAGTACTTACTCAGTTTCCTTCCCCCCCCCCCACAAAACATAAAACAAAAATCACAGAGAACTAACTTGAGGTCAACAAAACACTGCAATTTTCTGCTTCTCTGTATTGTGTATGTCAATTAATAAACTCTATATGAATGCAGCCATGTCAGGAGGTCTGATCCCAAGACAACTGAAGTCAAGAGAGTCGACTTCTTTGGGCCATGAATCCATTTCTGAAGGCTTAATCGGAAATAAAAAAACCATCACTATTTCACATTGATCTGAAAAGGTGCAGGTTCGCAACGCATCTTTACTTGAAAGTTTCCTTTCTTTCGTGGGTCAACATTTTAAAATGGAAAAAACAGCAACATATCAGGGTGATGGAAATGATCAGCAAAAGAGCACTCATGAGGGTAAGGACCAGGTCTAGCTTGACAACTTCAGTGTCTACTTCTTGATCCTCTGAGAAGAAGTCTGAAATAAAAAAGAAGGTGTTTAAAAACCACAAGAGTTAAAAATGCAGTGGTGTCACAGCTTAAAGGTAAAGATGAATCACTGGTAAGGCAGAGCTGAATTATCAAACTATAAATACAGTGGACTTTCCTGCGTGGGCATCCCCTGAGATGCAATGTTTCCTTAACAGAATGGGTGTGTAATGCTTCAGGTCCATGTAACGCTACTGGCTCCAAGGCAGTGCTCCACAACTCCTGTCTTTCACCACCTTCAGGACTTTGAGAGGCTTCTGCTCACTTCTCTAAATCCCTAGCAGGGATTGCAGGCCATCGAACACAGCAGATCACGTAAAGAATATATGGGGAGGTTTTCCCTGTCCCCTGCAAAATGAGGCAGGAGCATAGAAAACACTGGATTGCGTTTCCCAAATTCCCCTTTCCTTGTGGGATATAAATGGCCAAGTCTGAATCTTCCCACAGCAAGACTATCCATCCCTTCCATTGCAGCATCTAGAAGGGAAACCCTCCCATGGGCAGATCTAGGATTTTGAAAAGAGAAGGCAGATGGTGTGCTGCAATCAACACAACACATACTTTTTTCCACTTGAAGACAAACTAGAAGATTTACTATTTACTCAGGGCCCAGTGCTATATTATTCCAAAGCAAAACTGGATTTACAGCTTTATTAGACTGTACGCTAATTTGCTAGATTATATATTCGGTTTTATAAAAACCACAAGTTAGGCAAAAACAGTCCAAACATATTGTTCCATTAGTCCTGTAGTCATAATAGTGAAGTGTACATCTCTTATTCAGTTTTGTAATATGAAAATCTGGCCTTCTCAAGCATCTTGACGGTCCATTCAGCACATCGCTGGTCTTTGTTTCCACATCTGAGTTAACATTCACCTGAGTTAAGGGTTTTAGCTAAAACTAAAAACAGCGCTTAGGGCAGTGAAAGAGAAGAGAGAGATGACTAGGAAGGGATAACAGACAAGAAAATGGCAGAAGAAAGGCTAGCTTGATTAACCGAAGAACATCAAGACCATTAAAAAGGAGAGAGGGTCATTAACATCTGGGCAATGAGACATTATCAGGATACAGGTAAATTATAATGAACCATGGAGTCAATCGACTCCCCCAGCACTACTTCCCTATCTAGGCAGTTTAAAGCGTGGGTGGAGCAGGAATTAAATGAGGGGTGCACTACACCATGGCACCCTCAACCGTCCTCCATCCTCAAAGGAGATTTTAGGAAGGCGAGGGGGAACACGACCCTTCTGATGAGCGGGCCAGCATAGCTATTCACGCAGTGCCACGAACCCTGCAACAGCAGGAGATAGCAGTACCAATTATCTTACGATTCTCCCAGACTCCAGATTACAACACAACTCAGCAGCTGTCAAATGTGTCTCGGCTCCTAAACCCTTGTCTTGGGGATGACACCTGAGTCTATTTATAGGGTAATGCTATTGTTACCTGCATCGATGACCAGGTAAGAACGGCTGTTTGCAGAACTTCCCGCTCTGGTTTATTGTAGGGGCTAAACACCTTTGTGGCAGCCCACAGACCTCCTATCTTTGTGGCCATCAGCCTCCAGGTTTCAGGATTTCAAGGGTTGCCCGCCGGGCCCGGCTCGTTTTCTCATTTGTTTTGGGGCATCTCTGAAGATTTAATGATCGTGGGGGTAGATAATTTGGGTGCTCTTTGGGGTTAAATAGTTCTGAGGACACCCAACAGTGCAGCATCTCAGTCACAGTGATCAGGGAAGATGTCTACGGCCATCCCCCGTGCCCAGCAATAAGGCCGTGAATATGCTCCTGGCACTGTCCTCAAGTCCTGATCAGCTCAAAGCAGCACTTTGGAAGATCCTTGCCTCTTCATTTCTGGGACACATGGAGCATGAGCAGCAATGGGGCTTCTTTCCCCTGTGGCAGAAATGTCTTCTGGGGTCCCCCTGGACCTTGGGCAACCTCTAAATATGAAAACCCAGCAGGGCTCTCTGACAACCATACGGTCTGCTCAGCAGAATCTGCCCTAAAAATCCCTTCCAGTTTCTATGATTGCTTTGATGGCCATGGCCGGTCAAATGCCTTCCCTGTGCCCAACGTGCATCTCCGTGGGAGGAGAGGAAGGGGAAACAGCAACGTGGTCTCACCATCAAGAAATGTCAAATGTGTAACTGCATATATCTTAGCAGACACAGCCTTGTAACCAGCAACAGAAGGACAAAGTGGAGGATGGGGAAGGTTGGTTAGAAAGCTACCTTCAAACACCCGCTATTCTACTTAGGAGACGTTTAATAGTGGAAGCAAACTGAGGATACGATAAAACCTGCTTGCTTGGGTGCCTGCCTCTGTATTGCCTGCTATGAATGCTGCCCTCACCAGTTCAACATTCAGAACATCAGCCATTCATCATCATGTTTAGAGCAAGGACCATACCTTCAGGAGAAGATATTTCCTTTTCACTAGCTGCGTGACCACCGCATATTAACCAAGAGAACAGCAGAAAATTAAGGGAATAAGCAGCCATGTTTGCTTGCTTTTATAAAGCAGAGAATTCCTCTATTTACTGGCCAATAAACATGTGCTTCCTCTTGCTGGAGGACTATTATGACATCACTCACTGCATGACAGCATTATTTAAATCACTCTCATACAAGCCTGAAGCTGTACATAATTTAGGGGTTTTTTTGCAAACTGCACATGTAATAGTTCATGTATTACTTTAAATGTTAGCTTGATTTACTATCTACTTGCTCTTTATCTAAACATATTTTGGTAGATGCACAGCAAAAAGGACTCCATTTATTCTGCCTGGCTCCTATGCCTGACTATGATCCATGTATAGTTTACTTTTAACTGTAATCTAACCAGCAAAAAACCTCTTACCTTATCAATGACTGTCAAGGTCTGCAGCTATTTTAAATGAGATCTGGTATCATGACTCAAATGCAAGCTCGAGGCTCTGATATGCAGTTATATTTAGGGTGGCCATACCTGTCAATAAAACCATTCAAATTAATTCCCTGAAGGCACCTAAAAAAGAAAACCTCTTCTGCACAGCATCTAACAGTCCAGACAGAGGGACTGTTTAGCAGGGAGATAATTGTTCCTTAATGAAAATTAACATCAGGTATGGAGTTATACAAAGAATGTATTTGGCTCAGTGTATTTCAATGCATTTAAATGAAGAAAAAGTCACTTAATTTCACTTAACACCTCATTTAAAAAGGAGCAGGATAAAATTAACCCCTCTACCTTATCCTAACCACCTTCAGATAAAATATCTAATCATCTAGTCAATCAACATCATCAAACCCTTGTTTGATGACCAAAAGCTCACCCAGTATCCACAACAGTAATATGTCAGCACAGTGTCTAATGAAATAAGCCACTGCTTACAATAGCTTATGCAATGCATCTCTAATATTGTTAGTCTATAAGGTGCAAATCTACCCTGCCTTCTGCCTGACTTCAGATCGACACGGCCAACTACCTGTCCAAAACTGTCCCTTATGCAGAGAGAGAAAACCAAGGACCTGCATCGGTGCCATGATATTCACCCTCAACGTAGGACCGTCTGCATAATTATAAGGAGCTAAACCCTGCCCCGCTTAGGTAGGACTCCCTAGGAATTCGAGAAAACTCCTGAGCATGAACCAAACCGCAGGTTTTGACCTCTGGTTTTGCTCACATCTGCTCTGCAAGTTAACATAATAGCTGTAAAAAATACCAGGTGAATAGCCTTCAGACCTGAAGTCCTGCATTTAGAGACTACGTATGAGAGCCCATGCAAAATTAAGTTTTGCTATTTTGCTCCACCAATGATTCAAATTCGGCACTCAATGGTACGTTTCCAACTCACCAACTGGAAAATCCCAGGGTAGAGGTTTATGCACCAAGCCTCTCGGCTCATGGCCTAGAATAACCCCAGCGAGGGTCAAGATGCAGTTCCAGCCCTTTAGCCCTTTGCTGAGCCTGCTAACTACTGTCAGACCTGTGCTACCTGAGAGGATGTTTTTTATAGGGACAATTTTAGAACTGGACTGGGCCAAGCAACTCATTTGGCGTAGGTCACCGAAGAGCTTCCATATATTGCAACATGACATGATCCTCAATTTATGTGATAGCCTGTTCCACAAAGAGGTAAGCAGTGCAGCATAAAACAAGAGCACTTCTTCACCACCACAGTTAAAGACGTGTTAGCATGGTTGTGACAATGCTCTTTGCTTATTCTGCCATCCCGTGGCTAGCCAGAGAATAAACTACATCATACTTGGGGGGGGGGGGGGGTTTAAAAAAAGGAAAAA